TGTGTGCCGTGAGGCCGTAGTGGATGTGCTGATACTGAGTGCAAATGTACCTGATCATGCCGTGCAGACGTGTGAAGGTCAAGGGTGCTCTGTGTGTAACTGACTAGGAAAACAGCCGATCGGTGCAGTGAGAGAAGGGAGAAGAAAGAAAAACATGCAAAAGTGATGCAGGAGGGAACAAGAACATTGTAATCTATACTTTTACACTGCTGAGATTGACTGTGTTTTATCTGTTATGACATTGTGTTAAATTAGCAAAATTACATGGATAAGCTACATAGATGTTAATGGAAGAGGAGGAGAGATCTGGAGTGGCGTTAATACCACCAGGGAGTGGTTCTGGGGTCACGGTAGAGCTGTCCGTTCATGCAGAGCAGGTCCATAGCAATGAGAGCATGGCAGCCCTTCTGAATGAAGCTGCTGGGAACAGGACTTTGTGTCGCTCCATGATCTCTCTGGGAAACTGGTTGTTTACACTAAAGTCCATTCCTTGTAGCTCCCTGCTGTAACTCGTCAACGGCTCCTTCTGCTGAAATGTTACCGAAGTTGGCCACAAAAGGACGCTGTTTCCGGGCACCAGGCCCATGTTCTTCACGGTGTCCTCCGGAAGTTTCGGGTGGGTCTTACAGTAACTTCTGTGTCCTCTCCAGCAGACTCTGGGATACCTGAAAACACCAGGTTATCTCTCATGCTACGGGTCTGAAGACCGATGGCAGTCTCTTTTTAATTTTTTATTTTCTTAACTGAGCTGGGTGACTTTCTCACTTAGAGACTTGACCGAGTCTGTAGCAAGGCGTTTTCAGCAACATTTCCACCTGCTGCTGGCTGAATTCTAAAGATTCCCTCAGGGATTGGAATTCACGGTTTAGAATCTCGACCAGAGATATGCTCATGTAGAAGCTGGACAATCGCTTATCGGTTGAATCCAGGACGTCTGCAAAGTCCTTTACCGGTTGACGACATTGTTCCGGGGCAATCTGCCGGGCGACTTCTTTGGATAGATATCTTTTCTGCTTTTACTCCTATGTTTTTGGCCTTTTTTTTAAATTAAGAAACGAGTGTTAGTTGTTTTATTCTCTTTTCACTACACTTATAAAAATGCATAGAAGCTTCTAAGCGAAATATGGTGGGTGACTCGACAGTGAGCAATGCCAGCTAACACAGAAATGAACTTTAGTAATCACTAACTTCAATGAGCGATTAGCAGCACAGATTCAACAAAAACTTCTCATGAGAACAGCAAAGCAAACGCCGTCATAGTGCTTTGAAACTTGATGTGATGTGCAAGGGGCGGAGCTTACTGAGAAACCAAGGGCATGCATACTAACTGGTTAATGACTTTTAATTAAAAAATATAGCTCTAAAGTGCTTTATCTGGTCGGTAAAAATTGAAAACTGCTATATAAACATCAGTACATTATTATTTATTATGACCTGAAATTAGTTCATCTGGGGAAAGAAACTGGTTGAATATCTCACGACACAAGAGACGTTTCTTTCTCTATCCAGGTGGACTACTTTACAAATTCCCTTCCTGATGGTCATTACACACATATTTACTGCACAGTAATTCATTATTACATAACCTCGATATAAAAACAGACATCAGGTAGAAATGCCAAACAAATAAAGATGCAATAAAGCAGTTTATTGGCTTCAGCATTGACCAGTGCCAAAACAACAAACAAACGTCTTGTGTTCTTTATTCTCACCTAACCTAAAATAAAAGGCAAAAAAAGAGACAAATCTCTAACCTATGCTTCTAACTAATAAATAGGAGAAAAAGGATTTCAACAATTCCTCACAATTGCACACGTTTCCCTGTAATGACAAAGTAATGACAGCAATCTATGCTAGGATCTGCTGGGAACTACTGATTAATCTTTACAGCTTTGGTAATAATTAGGGATCCAACCAAACAGAATTGCTGTTTAGTTAAATTCTAGTGGGATTACTGGGGATAAAAAGGTTTTGGATTCATTTACGTGACAATTTCCATATTCTTTTGTCTTGCATATTGAGATTAGTAATTTTTCAAAAATCATCATCTTGAAGAAAAAATCACATCTCTCATCACAAAATATTCTGGATCCTGATTTGAGAGTTAAGCAGTCTCAGACTGCCAGCTCTTGTTCATTTTGTAATTATGGAACTTATAAAACAAAACTGTCAGAGTTAGAAATATCAAGTTGTAAAGGTTGACTTTACAAAGACATCTGGCAGGAAAACCAGCCATTTTCTCCCACTATTCTTAAAGTTGTTGTAATTTTTTTTCCCCAATAATTTCTGATGATTTTTCTATTGGTTTTCGAACCAATTAATCCACTAATCATTGTGGCTTTTAAGATAATGCTGATGATTGTGGTAGTGACCCCAGTGATCACACTGGGACAGACCAAGAACCTTACTCCATTAGAGAGATAAGTGATGATGTGAGAGCTGGAGGGGCACAGTTCGGCAAATGAATTTCCTGCTCTGTGAGCTGTTAGCGTCACCTGATCCTTCAGCTAAATGAGTTAAGCTGCACTTTGCTAATAGTGTTAGAAAAGACAAAGAGGGTGAGGCAGAGGAAAGTTGCCTTCCTCTCTGCAACAATAGCTGCTTTTATGCGCCTCCCAAATTTAATCAGGATTACATTTTGTTGCTACTTTCAGGTGATATTGGAATAATCAGTGCTATGATTCAACTTAAGTCACTGAACTCTGAAGTGGCCCCCTAAAGTGCCTTAAATAATTATAATGCCATGTGTTACAGGTTTGTGAAATGTAGTCCCTAGGTAAGAGACTTTTGCCATTGAAAAGTCTGCTTATTTCCCCTTAAATGGTGGCACATTTGTAAAGAAAACACATTTTGGGGTTGAACAGCAGAGTTGAGTGTGTGGATTGCACCCTTGAAAAAATTACCAAATCTTCTTTGCCAATCCAAACAGCTTATTCTGGTATTTACCTTTGTTCGGTCTCCATTGTGTGTCTCCATTTAAATAAAACACACAAGTAACAGATTAAAAAAGGAGTCGTGTTTGTGGTAATGAATCATTTCAGTTCAATTCTATTTTTTTATATAGCACTAAATCACAGCAACAGTTCCCTCAATGCACTTTATATTGCAAGCTCCACAATAATACAAGATCGTGCTCTGTGATCATCAATACGTGATTTGTGAAGGTTTGGGGTTTTTTTGCAGCACAGTAGCTCTACATTGAATCATTAGTTTCTTTTAGTGATAAAGAAGAAGCAGTGTCTCTAGACTTTCCTTCAGTCTGTATAGATGCTATTCACTAAAAGCAAGAAAAGCCTGTAGCCTGAAATGCAAAACTAAGATCAACTGAAGGCTTTTCAGGACGTTTTTAGGACATCCTGATAGTAATGAACTACAGTAGTCCAGCCTAGAAGTAATAAATGCATGAGCTAGTTTTTCAGTGTCACTTTAAGACAGGATGTTTCTAATTTTTGAGATGTTGACAAATTCAAGAGAGCAGTCTTACATATTTGTTTAATACGTGTATATAAAGGACATATCCTGGTCAAAAACAACTCCAAGATTCCTCACAGTGTTCCTGGAGGCCAGGGTAATGCTATCCACCATAAGCATCTGGCTAGAAACTACATTTCTAAGATTTTTGGGGCAGTTTTATCTTAATTTAAAAGCAGAAAGTTAGAGGTTATCCAGGTCTTTATGTCTTTAAGACATTCCTGCAGTTTAACTAGTTGTTGTTTTTATCTGGCTTCATGGATAGATAAAGTTAGGTGTCATCTGCATAGCAGTGAAAATGTATCATATGCCCTAGGGGAGCATGTATAATGTAGACAGAGTAGACAAGGCGGAAGAATTAAATCTCCTCCTTGCATCACTGAATCCAACAACAGTTTTTGGTGGATTTGCCATAAAACTGATCACCTGTGAAAAAAAACATGAAAAAAAAAAAACCCTGAGGTCTACACACCTCACTTGTCTCTTGTCTATCTTTAATGGCATGGCAAAAAATGCATTGAGCCTTGTATTTCTCTAAACTACTTGCAGTAGGAAAAATGAATCCTAAGGCTCTCTTTGATACAGTCAATAACATCATTTCTCCTCCAAAATAATCTACACAAGTTTTCTCAAATAAGGATTGAAATAACTTTTTTAAATTTTCCGTCCCTAAGCACGATATGGATAAAGTTACCTTTATTCATTGACATTAAATGTCACTCTTGTTCTTTCTGATGAAGTTCTCCCTTTTCAGTTTTTTTGTAATGTTGGCCCAAATTTAAATAAAAACTTTGTCTCCTCACTTTCAAGCAACATGCAGTCCACATATCCCAGGAGTTCTGTCTCATTCTTATCTCTCGCCGTGGTTGAGAGTGCCTTGGGTGTCTCCCAGGACACGGATTTTCAAGTTTTTATATTGGATACTGAAGCAAATTAATTGGTTTGTTATTTGTTTAACAAAATATTTAATTTAAAAATGAAATATTACATTTTTGTAAAAAAAAAAATTATTAATTAAAAAAACATGTTTGCTCACTTTTTAATAACAAAATGTTTTGATACATTTATTAAAACTGTCCCCATTGTGTTACAGATTAAAGTTTGAAAACGTAAAGACTAAAAAAGAGTGGTCTGTTTTGTTTGTTGACTTGTATATGGCAAATTTTACAAAAAAAAAATCACTTAACTATAACTCAGTTTACTGAGCCTGATTTAGACAACCATTTCAATGTTTTTTATGTGTGTATGGAACAAACATTTGTAACTATTTAATACTGAACATCTAAAAGAATGTTCAGATTGTAAAATGCAAGCCCACAAAACAATCTCCAAAAGTTGATTAAATCAGTAAATAAACAAATAAAGTTTGCTGTCTAACTGAACGCTTAAATGAGGCTTGCAGGTTGTAGTTTCACCGTTACAGCTCTGTAAGTCATGTATTATTCATGTCACATAAACATGTATTCTGGATTCTGTGTTCTTATCTTCTTAAATAAAAAAGAAATGACCAAATGTATTCTCTTCCTCAGGTTTTTTCAGGGTGATTACACAGTGGAGGTGGCAATCAATGACTACCTGGATATCTACTGTCCTCACTACGAGGCAGCGGAGTCAGCCGTGCACATGGAGCATTATGTGTTGTACATGGTGAACTATGATGGATACATGTCCTGCGACCACCACAGAAAAGGTTTTAAACGCTGGGAATGTAACAGACCACAGAGCCCCAATGGGCCACTCAAGTTCTCTGAGAAGTTTCAGCTCTTTACACCCTTTAGCCTGGGCTTCGAGTTCAGGCCAGGACATGAGTACTACTATATCTGTGAGTACATAGCAGTGTACATACTGTCTGTTTTATATTGCTAAACTGAATATTACTTACTTATATTGCTACTTACTGTGTTATTAGGGTCAGGCTCGCTGTGCAAGGTAGATTGATTCCTGCTTGAAGTTGCCAATTTGAAACTATTTTGGAGTCTGAATTATTATTTTTGCTGGTCAGATCAGCTGGAATGATTTACTATCAGTGACAGGAAGAATCAACTGTTAGCTTTGGGGGAAAAGGCAACTCTCAAAAATATTAATGTAGACACAGATTTCAGTATCCCACAGTTGTTTATGTTTTTGAACCCATTTTGCACAGAGAGGCATTTTTTGATTTGATTGCAATGTTGAATATTATTACACAGGAAAAAAATCACTACACGTAAAATAATCACACCGTGATGCCTTTCTAAATGGAGGGACAGTAACTGCGTGTGTGTATGTAAGCGTGTAAAAACTGAAGATAGTCAGATTAACAGTATTTTGTCTCTATCTGCCATTCTGCAATTCATCTCATGTAAACAATAACATGGCACACACCGTAACATGAAAAAAAAAAGGCACATACCTTTGACGTTGCGTGACGAACTCTGTATACCTCATCCACACGTAAACGCAAAAAATCTCAGTTTTCGGTGATTCGAAACGCCATTTATGTGTGGACGAAAGGTCCAAACGCATAGAAACAGCTGCGTTTTCAAAAATACCCGTGTAGGTGTGGACGTAGCGTAAAAGAGTTAGTAGTTTATTTTATTACTACCTGTAATTTATTGCAGATTACTTGTATTTGCTTAATTATTTACTAAATGTTTGAGGTGTGAAATAAACCTCAATGGAGTAAAATATGGATGTGTGTGGTTAAAGGGGGGGCGGGCGCGAACATTTTTCTTGTAAAACAAAGGGGGGGCCCAGCAAGAAAAGTTTGGGAACCACTGGAGTAGATGGTAATGGAATTTCGGCTCAATTCTTGCAAAATGTTTTGATATCTGAGTTTGCCCTTCATAGAGGACCCTTTGAGATTTTAACCAACCCCAAAGGAACACAAAGATTGTGCAATATTATTAAAGTGAATTAAAAGTAAGCCAAAAACTTAAACAACAGAAGCATTTTTTGTTATTTAAAATAAAGTTAAATACTAGACTTACTGACCTATTGCAGTGTCTACGAATAATTCATAATGAATAATTTTTAGTTTTTAGATTTTTTTCAGTCTTTTAATCGTTTGGAAGCAATCGAACAAATCATTAAGCACTTAAATTAGCATTATTCAGTTACAATAGTGAAAAATCACACTGCCACTCCATACACCTTGACAAGAAGCAAACTGGTAAGAGAGCTGCTTTTAATTCATACAAATACTCCTTTTAATGTGCAAACTCTGTACAGAGCGTTACCATGTATCCCAAAATTCACAAATTGAGAATAGATTTGCAGTCTGTGACATCAGTGCAGTTGCAACTATCCTGTTTACGTCATGTTTAGAGTGACACTATTCATATCAATGTACAGTGGCTTGCAAAAGTATTCGGCCCCCTTGAACTTTCCCACATTTTGTCACATTACAGCCACAAACATGAATCAATCAATTTTATTGGAATTCCACGTGAAAGACCGATACAAAGTGGTGTACACATGAGAAGTGGAACGAAAATCATACATGATTCCAAACATTTTTTGCAAATAAATAACTGCAAAGTGGGGTGTGCGTAATTATTCAGCCCCCTTTGGTCTGAGTGCAGTCA